CCTACCTAAACACAAGGAAATGTTTTCAAAGGTAAAATTTCGAAATCGTTGAAATTACCTCCTTATTAATGAAGTTTTGACTGTGTTAATTATCCTGACATTATAATCAAAAAGAGATGATATTTGACCAAAACCCACAATCATGGGTAGAGTGAACCGCTGCCAGTGCCTCTCTTTTCCAAACAAAAGGAAATGATATTAATTTGAGGAACCGTCCGCAAATGCAAATTGATACCGAGAATGAAATCGGTCGCTCGCTTTTCCCATTCGAATTCACGGCTTACGAATTGTAATAAAGCTTATTGAGTGGGAAAAGCGAGCAACCGATTTCATTCTCGGTATCAATTTGCATTTGCGGACGGTTCCTCAAATTAATATCATTTCCTTTTGTTTGGAAAAGAGAGGCACTGGCAGCGGTTCACTCTACCCATGATTGTGGGTTTTGGTCAAATCCCCTTTACTGTTTTCCAGGCATTAAGACTCATCGGAAGTCGTTCAGCAGGCATATTTTAAGTTCAAAACATTATAATTCAATGTCAAAGATAACAGGAATAAGAAATAGTTATGTGGAGGTTTTTAAGAAATTTGTGCAAAATACGTGCCAGCACTCAAAATCGCCATATTCAGGTGCCTTAAAAATAAAAACCATGTTAAAATTGAGTTAGAGATCTGAGATGAGTGAAATGTTGACCAAATCGGCTGCAGAAAAGTTTAAAGTTTCAGGAGTATCGGAAAGTGGGTTTTCTGGAACGCCTGTTATACAACAAATTGTCGTGAAGTATATGGATAATATATGCCTCGTAAGGTAGCTGAAGACTCCTTCATGAATTAATCTAGTCTACAGATGTTTGAAACCGTTCCGATATATCGTGAACACCCTAGTGTATATTGTGAAGTTTGTATGTACGTATAACTAACATTATATTAAGCTGTTATACCCAGATAGATCCGAATCGATAAAACGGAGTACGACGGAGACTTGAAGCCGTCTATTCTCGATCATCTTACCTCAAGGAATCTCTAATACAAAGCCGAACAGCATGAGGTATCTACAATACTTTATCAAACAAAGGTCTGTAGCACAGGACAACGGCACTTTCTATCGCACAATCTATGACCACCTCGACAAAACGGAGTACAACGGAGACTTGAAGCCGTCTATTCTCGATCATCTTGCTGTGCCTGTAGCACAGGATAACGGCACTTTCTATCGCAAAATCTATCGCCTGTAGATGCGATAGATTGGTTCATAATTTTTCTTGGGTAATTGCAAATTGTCATTCAATATTATCAGCTGTTTCCTTGATTTTAAATTGTCATCGTATAAATACTGTAAGTGTATATAATCAAATAAAATTACTGGAGCAACATTTGCATTTTTGCAAAACCTCGTAAATTTCAGGCAAATCTCAACTTCAATGACTTTAAGCTGTAGTATGAGATAATTAACATGGGGATTATAATCGCAAAAAGGGCTCATATAATTATGTGTTCTTAGAGTGTCGTACAGGCTATTTTTCAAGAGATGCTTAACTCTTTTCCTTTTTTGTAAAATGACGGTTGCTTGAAACTCTTAACCTTTCTATTCATAAAATAGGTGTTTTACTAAGCTCAGGATGAATTCGGATATCCGGATGAATACGGTTCCGGCTGGATATATACGGCTTAATATCCGGTTCCGGTCTGGTTAAGGTTGCGTGGCCGCATATCAACTGGAAATTTCAAGATTTTTAGGCAAATCGTATTTAAAAAAACTTCTTTTGGGGATTTCAGGTAACATTCCGGGTCCTCACAGTCTGATCGTGAGACCTAAAAACATGTTCGAGATCTGATCCGGTTAAAATATCTATATGCCGGGTCCTTAGCATAGGATCACAGGGTCTAATGGCATGAAGTGTACGATATTGGAAATTTCGAAACTGTTAGGATACATTTTTTAATTTTCTGAGATTTAGCAGCAAGCGGTCAGAAATCTTAAAACTTTTCAGTAAGATTTTCATTCTCATATTTGCCACTCGGTTCCGGTTTGAAAAAAGGGAGATTGATTGATATCTGACCGATTCCAGTCCTGCAGCCAAATCACTAGACAGGTTCTCAGTTCCTGAGTTCCTCGTCGTATGTGTGATGCGATTATATCAAATGTGTGGTTAATATACAGCTAAGCGTACGCTATAATTATATAAATCTATAACGTTTGTTTCAAAACATTTTGTAAGTACCTAATATACGGTTCGGCTTTGTATTAGAGATTCCTTAAGGCAAGCTGATCAAGAATAGACGACTTCAAGTCTCCGTCGTACTCCGTTTTATCGATTCGCATCTACCTGGGTATAATACCTTATAATGTTAGTTATACGTACATATAAACTTCACAATATACACTAGGGTGTTCACGATACATCAGAACGGTTTCAAACATCTATAAACTAGATTAATTCTTGAAGGAGTCACCAGCTACCTTACGAGACATATTATACATATACTTCACGACAATCTGTTGTAAAACAGGGGTTCCAAAGAACCCACTTCCCGATACTCCTGAAACTTGACATTTTTTTGCAGTCGATTTGGTCAACATTTCAGATCTCCAACTTAAGGCACCTGAATATGGCAATTTTGGGTTTTTTACTGTATTTCGTATAACAGTGCTGGCGCGTATTTTGCGTAAATTTCTTAAAAACCTCCACATAACTATTTCTTATTCTTGCTATCTTTGACATTGAATTATAATGTTTTGATCTTTAAAAAAACGACTTTCGAAGAGTCCTAATGCCTGGAAAACAGTAAAGGGGGATAATAGTAAAGAAGGTATAATAGTGTTTGTATAAGCTTATACTCTTATATAAGGGCGACGGTCGTGCTTGCCAGCACTGTAATATTGTAAAGTGACATACATTCTCACATAAAGAATATGTAAATGTAAGTTTGTATGTCCAATGTGGTAAAACATAACTCCCTTAAACCGAGTACGCATAGACTTGAATTCGTCTAACAGCATTTAGGTCACCGTAATTACCTTATCGGACCCTATTTGAATGGACATTAATTGAACGCTGGAGGCCCTAGGCCTAGCGTTCATCATAATGTCCGTTCAAATAATGTTCATCGGTTTAAGGTCCGTCCAAATTAAAGTCCGTTGAATTTTTTGCATTTATCTCTATACAATTTTACGGTCAATCTTAGCGTTTCTCATGACCAAGTGACACCAAGCTCAGTAAATATATCGATTCATAACGATATTGGAAACTTCTGGGGTTTACATTTACAAGTTATCGTTATGTATCATTTAATTGTTTATTTATTTAAGCATAATTTCACCCGGGGAAACTTGGTCTTTACTTATACGAATATTACAGTATTACACATTGTACATAGGGTTGCCATTATCGGTACAAAATTTGTTATCGCGATAATCGATAATTTTTTCAAAATTATCGCGATAATATCAGTTATCGGCGATAAATTTGGCAATATAATTGAAGTAATATTTGTATGCACTCTGCATACTTGAATTATGCTCATATGCTATGTTACATCTTGTGCTGATTGCTTTGTTAAAGAATCAACTGCAATATTGATATCTTCTAGCTTGCTGTCAATAAATCAATGCTGTTAAATTCGCACTAAACTGTAATCGTATTATTTGAATTAAATTCGCATACGAATTTTTTAAAAACCTGCCATATTATATGGTAGCGTGGCAATGGTTGGGAGGGGCCTAAGTTGGTGCTCAGCTGACCTCAGACTCTATTGTGAAACAATCCAATCACCAATGAAACGATAAGTTTTCAATGAAACAATAAGTTATATTTTAGATACCTTTAATCATTAAAGATAATGCGGATAGAGCTGCACGGCGCCTCGGCTACTGACTGCGTACTGCAGTTTATAAATATAAATTTGGATTAAAGGGTATCAGTAGTCAATGACTAGACAGGGTTATTGAAAATTACAAAGAATAAAATGGCGTCTGGACTTGGGACCAGCTCATAGTACATTTCATTAATCATAATGCCATCTGAAAACCATTATGCTAGCTAAAAAATGACATTGTTAGGTAAAACGTACTGAAAATTAAAATTAAGATTAACGAGAATTTTGCCGCGGTTAAACCACGCACGATCAATTTTCCCTACGATGTACTTGTACCATTAATTCACTGATTCTTTGGAGTGAAAAGTGTGACTGGAAAAAATTGCACCATATTTACATACTCTGTTTTTTATAAATGAGTGGGATTCGTGCATGGCAAAAATTGATGATTTATCTGACCAACGCAGCGCCGCGCATCAACAATAAATGAATCCAGAAAACTGCGGAAAATAACTTTGCGAAGGAGGAATTTCACTGTAACTAATTAACACATGGCTAGCGTCGCGCGCAGCATAACAAACGCTTCCTATACACATAATTATAGCTTTATAGGGGAGTGGTCTATACTGCGAAGGTGCAGACTTTTGTCATCATCGCAGGTCTATCGGGCCACCTCATATATCCAAACCCGATTACTTATTCCCTACGATCTTTTTGCCTTCGGCAAGAGTAGGGAAAAAAATTGAAAACGAACTGAACTAACAAAAAGAATGACACGTCATGTTTTGATGTTTTGATGTTGTTGTAGCTGAGCTTACTGTCTGATTGTAGCTTTTGTAGGCTGCTATAAAATTAAACCCCTTTGGAATACTGCTAAGGAACGTGATAGAAAATAAGTTGCGGCATTATTTAATATTTTGTAAATAATCCCCGAACAGTTTTAACAATCCTAATCTTTATTCACTTAACCGGTTTGATTTGTTGAGTGAAACTTCGTCTTTGTCTGCACGTGCAAGTCCTCATTATCATCGGTTGTTTTCATTGCGTTGAGTTACATTTCATCGGCTGTATCCTAGGTCGGCATGAACATTTTTGACGCCTGATTGTTAGATATTTCAATATCAAAACTGACATTGATTAACAATATATCTACAGTAGCCTAAAGCAACTGCAAAGAAGCTAAAATGAATATAGCAATAGCTATAATAGTGGCAATGGTGGCACGAGCTCAATCGCTTACTTGTTGGAAATGTATGGACTTAAATTTGGAATCAGGGGTTAAAAATGCCTGTAGCAAATACAGCGTTCAACAGGTATAGCCAGCCTAGCTGCTAGCGTATGAATTTATTCCACTCAATTCTATTTATAATAGGAGGTCGTTCACATATTACGTAATCAGCCGAGGGGGAGGTGGTTTCCAAATGATTACGCTAGTGTAATCTTGATACAATAGCTATGTGTAAAACTGGTTACGGATCGGGGGGGGGGGGGGGGGGGGGGGGGGGGGGGGGGGGGATATCTGTGAACGACCCCTTATAGCATCTAGGGCCAACATTTAGTTAGGTATTATTTATTCGAATGTCTGTTTATTGATTGATTTATATGTGATAAATTGGTGGTAAATAATAAAATTGCCTTTTCTCAGTGTCCGGTCGAGAAAGACGTGTGCGCATCTCTTGAAACGACCTTCTATGAGGGTGACAGGTTCAGCTATATGAAAAGTTATAAATGTTTGACGAAGGCAGATGTGTCATCAGTATTGGATAAATGTAGGGGATTAAAATCTGAATTTGAAAATGCTTTTGACGATTTAAAGGATTATGCCTGTGCAATTGAAACATGCAACTATGGCTTGTGTAACGGACTTATCGTACCAGGTAGGATATATAAATTTGTCAGTATTTATTTGACCAAAACCCATAATCATGGGTGGAGTGGACCGTAACAGTGTCTCTCTCTCCCAAACAAAAGGAAATGATATTAATTCGAATAATTACCGTCCGCAAATGCAAATTGATTATACCGAGAATGAAATCGGTCGCTCGCTTTTCCCATTCATTTACAATTGTAATAGATTAAAAAGATTTGGGCGTGTCCTCACATGTGCAACTTTTCGATTTTCAACTTCGAAACTAGCCTGTTACACAATTTAGACCTTCAGGAAGCAAAATTGAGCTCCAAAACCCAAGGTATGGCCCAACACCAGAAAATACTAAATCACAACTTTTGTGTTTTTATAAACTTATTCTTCAAAAAAGCACTAGCTTCAATAGCGAATACCTTTATGAAGGAGCAAGGTAGGAAACCTTTCTGGTAGATTTTCAGAATTTATTTTGAATTGTAGCTGACGAAGTGAGAGTCTCCACTCAGTGGAGACTCTCACTTCGTCAACTACAATTCAAAATAAATGATTGACCCACTCATAAGAGCAAAAAAAGATTACCAGATTTTCAGAATGTTCGAACAATTATCTAACCTAAAAATGTCCTCAGATTTTGAATACAATTACACCTTGATGGTGTTAAATCGATCTAAAAATGAAAAAGTTGTTATTAACAATTATTTAATTCAGAATATTTCGCAAAATAACTTTGCACAGGCTAGTTAACCTGTTAAGAACGTGGGCGACTTATTGGCGCGCGGGCACGTATGTACGCTCTCACGCACGCTCGCACTCACGGTCGCAGAGCTACCATATCAAAAAAAACCTCACCTGCTAACCCTTGTCCTTGACTCTTTTGTGCCTTCGGCACTTTGAGTCATGGATCGGGAAAAAATGTCCTCAGATTTTGAATAAAATTACTCCTTTGTCATTGATGGTGACGCTTTTCCCATTCATTTACAATTGTAATAGATTAAAAAGATTTGGACGTGTCCTCACATGTGCAACTTTTCGATTTTCAACTTTGAAACTAGCCTGTTACACAATTTAGACCTTCAGGAAGCAAAATTGAGCTCCAAAACCCAAGGTATGGCCCAACACCAGAAAATACTAAATCACAACTTTTGTGTTTTTATAAAATTTTCTAATGACATCAATTGACTGCCAAAGCGTCTATATATATAATTATATATAGATATCCATAGACACAGTGTTTCGTCCTATTTATAGGACTCATCAGTATGGCTCAAATCATCAGGGTTGGTTTTGCCGATGGCGGGAATCGATCCAGCAACCTTTCGATTACTAGACCGGGATATATAATAGATATATTGATAGATAGATATATAATACTAATTGATCACGAAAATCTGTTGTTAAACAGGGGTTTCAGAAAACCCACTTCCTGATACTCCTAAAACTTGAAACTTTTTTTACAGTCGAATTGGTCAGCGGTCTAGACGCCCTGCAAAGTTTCAGATCTCTAACTCAATTTTAACGTGGTTTTTAAGGCACCTGAATATGGCGATTTTGGGTTTTTACCAAAAATGAAATTCGTATAACATTAACAGTGCTGGCGCGTATTTTGCTCAAATTTCTTAAAAACCTCCACGAAATAGAATCTCTAGCCCTCTACCCATGGCCTGACCCCCCTCATACCTACCCCCACTTTGTTTACGACAGCCTCGGATCTTTCATAGACATACAGAACACAGAATCCTTCCCCACCTTCCTCAACTCCCTCACCGAAGACCTCAAATTCACCCTGACAAGTCCTGAGTCCACTTCAGTCTACAGAAAACCCACCCACAACAACCTCTACACCAAGTATTCCTCCTGCACTACCAACTCCTCCAACTCCTCCTGCACTACCAGTACCAACTACCTCCTGCACTACCAACTCCTCCAAGAACGCCGTCATCCAATCCATCACCAGAAGAGCCTACAACATCTGTTCACCTCAACACCTCGAAGACGAACTACAGACTGTCAGACACGTTTGCCTTCAGGACGGCTTCCCTCCCCTCCGCATCACCACCATCATGTACGAGGTTCACCGCAAATCCACCAACCCTCCTCGACACCAATTCTTAGCCTCATTCAACCGATAGACTAAAGATCACGCACTCAGCGTTTCCCTTCCATTCCATCCCTCTCTCTCCAAACCCATTTGCAAGATACTCGGACAACACGACATCAAAGTCACCCACTCATCAGCAACTACTCTCCGCAACCTCCTCACCAAGACCGGACATACCTTTCATTTACAATTGCGATAAATCAAGCAGCACTACGGTACCCAGAAGCAGTACTCGGAAATAAAGATTCGATAAACCTCTGCTAATTGGACACTAACTAGTTATTAACGTCTAATTTATCCCAATTAGTACTAAGTATTGGCTTGAAAGCAACCCTAGGCCTAAGGGGTTTCCAGAATCCAGAGAGTGTCATCGATGTAATAAACCTAAAATTAAACTGATTAAAATTCGTAAGCCGTGAATAAATGGGAAAAGCGAGCGACCGATTCATTATCGGTATCATTTTGTATTTGAAAACGATTTATTCCAATTGATATCATTTCCTTTTGTTTGGGAAACTGAAACCTGTTGCTTTCTCGGAAAGTCGATAAGGCAATGAAAGTATTGTTAAAAGATGTGCTCTACAGAGCAACAGTTGCTAGTGCTCCTTCATAAAGGTAACGAATGTATTTTCAGAAAAGCCTTGGTGGAAAACGGAGCCTACGGAAGCTCCGGACCCTAAAAGTGAGTTAACAAAATCATTGATCAGACCAAGTTCAGTTTATAAAAAAGATTCAAGTCTTTTTATATCTCACTGCTTTAAAATGGGAGGCACGCTTGTTTAATACGGCTGAAGATTTATTATAAACTAATCTCGACTTACTTCAACTTTCTTTATTTACAATTTTTTAAATCTAAGAACAGTTAACTAAAACAGCTTCATACTTGAAGGTGACCGTTGTTGGTAGTTATCATCTCCGCAATGTCTTGTCCTCAGATATACTCCTATAACTCTAGTTTCGTTAAAGCAGATATACAGTAAGATGAAGTATTTTGCTTAATGGCTAGGGTTAGGGCTGAGTCAGATTAGAGGGATAAGCTGATAAAGTTTTGAATATTTTAAATAGTCACTAAGAAACACCTAGAGAACGTGTTAAAGTATAAGTCAAGTGATTGTCGAGTGAATAAGAGTGTAACTTTTGATCTCAATAGTTGAATAAGTTTATCGAGTGACGCAGGTTGAGCAAAACAACAGTTTTGGACAAAATATTAGTTTTATGACGACAATGAACTGCCACAATTATTTATAAAAACTGTTATCTAACTGAGTGGTCTAGTTAGTCACGAAATCATCATGTTATGTTTCTAACCCTGTACAATGCATCAAGTGTTGCAAATTGTTGCCTCAGGTGCCTCAGCGCCTCAAAACTGGTTTTTAAAGGGCCTCAAAGTCGTGCCTTCGGTGCCTCAGTGCCTCAAAGCGTCACAAGGTTATCTGAAGAAACTCCAACGGGAGACGATTGTGTTGATAAAGCAGATTCAACCACTGAAAAATCATATAGTTTCTCAAACAGTTATACTTATAGTTATACTGCGTTATTAACACTGTCCACTGATCACTACTCTCTAGGTCGCCTTTACCGCGCCTGATTCACAGATACCCGATTTAATACGCCCCAATTTACTGCAAACCCCAATATACCTCACTATTGTAAGCGAGAAACTGTTCTTGTTTTTGCTATAACAATGTTTTCTAAAAAGAATAACCAATGGATTAACTCCCGCTCCAGATTGTATAAGTATTGAAAATGATGGATCAGAGTACAGGGGAAAGGTAGCTGTCACAAAATCAGGACGCAAATGCCAGAGATGGGACTCTCAATCACCTAACACACAGAATTTTGGATCCAAGCAGGAGTAAATTTTTTCGTTGCTTTTTAAGCTGTTCTACACTTCTAAAGTTATTCAAAAGTCTTTTTGTTGCTTCTTATTTGGATTTATTCTTTTTTATGTTTGAGACCATCATGGTAACTTTGCAGATGGTATATTGTTACTTATCACTCTGTTTACCCCCATAACACTTTTAATCTATATGATTATAATATATACATTGAAAATGCACATCATTGACTATTTTAGGAAAAGACCTCATCATAAAAACATTTTCAGATACACTAGATTAGGACTGCAAGAGAACTATTGCAGAAATCCAGACGGGTAAGTTTTCAATATCTGGTATTGTTCCATAATTATTGTCATCAAGTCGAGCACAAGGTATGGGCACAAACATTTATAAAATAAATCTACAAAAAACTGCAATGAAGATGGATTTGGAAATATAATTGATTTATGAAATTTCTTTTCTGAAATATTCCATTGTAACATATGTCATAATTTTCCTCAGTGGCTCAGGCCCCTGGTGTTATAATGGAGAGGGAACTGTGCCTCGATGGGAGTACTGTGATACATGTGGTAATTAACTGTGGTGACTTTTTTGCACAAGGTTTTTGCCATTGAATCGAGTTAAATAAGTTATTGTAACTTGTAATAAGTTGTTTGTTTGTGATTATTTTACTATATAAGTATATACTAGCAGGAACCCGTATAATATAACCCTAAACGGTGTCAAGACTCAATACACTACTTTAACGCGACTTTCCGCAAAAAACCGTAAAAGATATACAACTGAAACTTTTTTGGTTGGGTCAAAAGCTTTAATGGTCTCCAAATCAGCATGAAAAAATAAAAAATTGGCCAAGGAATAATGATTCTAGAGCCGAAAATTTGGACCCCCAAGTGGTGTCAAAAACGCCAATTAAATAGGTAATAATTATTTTAGTGTATTGTCATTGAGTCTTGACACCGTTTAGGGTTACTAGCAGGAACCCATTTAACCCTAAAAGTGTTATTTTTATGAAACAAGCTTAATGAACTACCGACTGATAAAATTCAGCAAGTCAAAACAAATAAAATTATGATATCAGCCGATAAACTCGCGGCTGATTATTTAATAGTTTGACACTGAATGGTAAATACTAAATAGCGAATACATAGTTGAAAACAGATGTTACTTTACATTTACATTTACATGAGCAAATAAGATTGCGGCATGTCGAGTAAGCATCAAAATTTATTAGTTTATGTTAGACACAAATAATAGTAATACAATGAGACAGAACATTATATAACATTCAATAAAGTTGGCATACGATACAATAATTATAGGACGTGACATGATGTGCGCATTGTTAATATATAACACGAAACAAAACCGCGCAAAATATGATGTGGTCTACAAGTGACTATACAACCAAACCGCAAATCGACGTAAACTCAGTGAAGGCGAAACGTCAGAATCTGACGCTTTTTTGAAAAAAGCTGCCGTTATTTGTTTCTCCGGCAAAATATTCGCATCGGTCATATTTGGTCTATCACTATGTGATGATTAATTTAAGTTATGGTTATACTTATATTTAAAATGTTTATATCTAATGGTCGAATAAATATTTGCAGGTCATCAGTAAGCCAGTCAACTAAAAAGGAGCTGATGTACAAGAAGTTCAAACGAAAAGGATTATATAATTTAAATTTAGTGACTGAAAGCAACTGGACTGTTTAAGTTTTTTTTGAACTTCATTGTTTTCATATTATAAAGTCTTTATGCATATAATTTTTTGGAGCATCAAACGTCTTTAAATCAGGATATACGCATATTATTATTGTATATGTTTACTAGTATGTTATTTAATAACGGGAGATACTCGTAAAATATGTATTTCAAATATTCAAGAACGTCGACGATTTCAACTCGGCGCGTTTTGGTAATAGTATATTATAAACCTACAAGTACAATATGTTATACTACCTTATGATATATTTAATTTGTCTTAAAACTGCATCATTGTTTTGAGTGGGGTAAACCATGGTTCTAAATCAAATTATTCAGACTTCAGGTTGTTAAGTTTATTAAGTTAATAGGCCACACCCTATTTTACGCTCACAGTAGCAGTTTAAACTTAATTAATCCACCTCTTAAACACCGGGGTGGAAGTTGTATAGTCGGGAATGTTATAACCAGCTCCTTCATCCTTGATTACTAACTTTGAGGTAACTTTTTGATGTTGTTGTAGCTGAGCTTACTGTCTGATTGTAGCTTTTGTAGGCTGCTATAAACCCCTCTGGGATACTGCTAAGGAACGTGATAGAAAATAAGTTGCGGCATTATTTAATATTCTGTAAATAATCCCCGAACAGTTTTAACAATCCTAATCTTTATTCACTTAACCGGTTTGATTTGTAGAGTGAACCTTCGTCTTTGTCTGCACGTGCAAGTCCTCATTATCATCGGTTGTTTTCATTGCGTTGAGTTACATTTCATCGGCTGTATCCTAGGTCGGCATGAACATTTTTGACGCCTGATTGTTAGATATTTCAATATCAAAACTGACATTGATTAACAATATATCTACAGTAGCCTAAAGCAAAGAAGTTAAAATGAATATAGCAATAGCTATAATATTGGCAATGGTGACAGGAGCTCAATCGCTTACTTGTTGGAAATGCGTGGACGCAAATTTGAAATCAGGGGTTAAAAATGCCTGTAGCAAATACAGCGTTCAACAGGTATAATAGCCAGCTAGCTGCTAGCGTATGATTTTATTCCGCTCAATTCTATTTATAAATATAATAGGAGGTGATCGTTCACATATTACGTAATCAGCCGAAGGGGAGGTGGTTTCCAAATGATTACGCTAGTGTAATTTCTCAATTTTGATACACTAGCTAGTATGTGTAAAACTGATTACGGATCGGGGCTGGGGGGTGGGGGGTCAAAAAAGTGATTACGTAATAATATGTGAACGACCCCTTATAGCATCTAGGGCCAACATTTAGTTAAGTATTATTTATTCGAATGTATGTTTATTGATTGATTTATATGTGATAAATTGGTGGTAAATATGAAATAATAAAATTGCCTTTTCTCAGTGTCCGGTCGACAAAGACGTGTGCGGATCTCTTGTCACGACCTTCTATGAGGGTGACAAGTTCAGCTATATGAAAAGTTATAAATGCATGAAGAAGGCAGATGTGTCATCAGACTTGGCTAAATGTAGGGGATTAAAATCTGAATTTGAAAATGCTTTGGACGATTTAAAGGATTATGCCTGTGCAATTGAAACATGCAACTATGGCTTGTGTAACGGACTTATCGTACCAGGTAGGATATATAAATTTGTCAGTATTTATTTGACCAAAACCCATAATCATGTGTAGAGTGGACCGCAACAGTGTCTCTCTCTACCAAACAAAAGGAAATGATATTAATTCGAATAATTACCGTCCGCAAATGCAAATTGATTATACCGAGAATGAAATCGGTCGCTCGCTTTTCCCATTCATTTACAATTGTAATAGATTTGGGCGTGTCCTCACATGTGCAACTTTTCGATTTTCAACTTCGAAACTAGCCTGTTACACAATTTAGACCTTCAGGAAGCAAAATTGAGCTCCAAACCCAAGGTATGGCCCAACACCAGAAAATACTAAATCACAACTTTTGTGTTTTTATAAAATTTTCTAATGACATCAATTGACTGCCAAAGCGTCTATATAATATATATATAATTATATATAGATATCCATAGACACAGTGTTTCGTCCTATTAGGACTCATCAGTGTGGCTCAAATCATCAGGGTTGGTTTTGCCGATGGCGGGAATCGATCCAGCAACCTTTCGATTACTAGACCGGGATATATAATAGATATATTGATAGATAGATATAATATATAATGTATAATACTAATTGATCACGACTATTAATCTGTTGTAAAACAGGGGTTTCAGAAAACCCACTTCCTGATACTCCTAAAACTTAAAACTTATTTTACAGTCGAATTGGTCAGCGGTCTAGACGCCCTGCAAAGTTTCAGATCTCTAATTCAATTTTAACGTGATTTTAAGGCACCTGAATATGGCGATTTTGGATTTTTACCGAAAATGAAATTCGTATAACATTAACAGTGCTGGCGCGTATTTTGCGCAAATTTCTTAAAAACCTCCACATAACTATATCTTATTCCTGTCATCTTTGTTATTGAATTAGAATGTGTTGAATTAAAAATAATCCTGCTGAACGACTTTCAATGAGCCTTAATGCTTAACAAAACAGTAAAGGGGTATAATAGTATGGGAGGTGAAAAAGCATCGGTCATGCTTGCAGCACTATGATATAGTTAAGGGGAGATACACCAAAACCGTTTTTGCTCCGAACATCAATTTTATTTTATATTATTTTTAAATAGACAAAAAGAATAAGATTGTACACCTTCAAAAATTTTTAAAAATATTCCCTCATCGAGAAAAAAAATATTTTTCTTTTTCGAAAATTTTTAAAATTTGGAGAAGTCTGTCACTGTAATACCGATAGTTCGGCCATTTAAAAAGTTTTTTGGCTGATTTTTTTACTGAACATTACTTACACTCCGTACTAGAAGCCATTGAAAGGATTATATAATTGAACAATAAATTACCAAGTTACAGACCGAACAAGGTGAAAAAAGAAAAATAGGGATTTTTGCCTACCACCAAAGTTGTACATTTCACCACCCGCCCAGGTCATCAGATATCGCTTCAAAAATTCTTGTGAGTGTAGTTGATGATCATGGCAAGCTTTTTGGAACCGGATTTCTCTCAATTTTGAGTTTTAAGCTATGCAATGTGGCCTCAAACGACTTAGTAAAATTCATCGTAAAAAAGGGTTAAAAAGGCAGATTTAAGGCTTAAAATGCCTATAACTCAAAAAGTATCAGTTTTTTTGAAATAATTTTTACAGGATCGTAATCAGCTTGGTAAGACGAATCTTTTAGTACGACATTTATAATATTCAAAGCCACAAAATTTGTAAAAAAATGTGTACAATTTGTACAAAATTTATACAAGGGGGGACCCTTGTGTTCGAGCTAGAAAATTATTTAAGACAATTTGTCTTCTAAAAGCACTTATTTGGTACTAAAAGATTCGTCTTACCAAGCTGATTACGATCCTGTAAAAAGTATTTCAAAAAAACTGATACTTTTTGAGTTATAGGCATTTTAAGCCTTAAATCTGCCTTTTTAACCCTTTTTTACGATGAATTTTACTAAGTCGTTTGAGGCCACATTGCATAGCTTAAAACTCAAAATTGAGAGAAATCCGGTTCCAAAAAGCTTGCCATGATCATCAACTACACTCACAAGAATTTTTGAAGCGATATCTGATGACCTGGGCGGGTGGTGAAATGTACAACTTTGGTGGTAGGCAAAAATCCCTATTTTTCTTTTTTCACCTTGTTCGGTCTGTAACTTGGTAATTTATTGTTCAATTATATAATCCTTTCAATGGCTTCTAGTACGGAGTGTAAGTAATGTTCAGTAAAAAAATCAGCCAAAAAACTTTTTAAATGGCCGAACTATCGGTATTACAGTGACAGACTTCTCCAAATTTTAAAAATTTTCGAAAAAGAAAAATATTTTTTTTCTCGATGAGGGAATATTTTTAAAAATTTTTGAAGGTGTACAATCTTATTCTTTTTGTCTATTTGAAAATAATATAAAATAAAATCGATGTTCGGAGCAAAAACGGTTTTGGTGTATCTCCCCTTAATGTCAAATGCGGAATCCTATTCATTTCACAGCCTCTGCAGTGTCACAACATTTTTCCCAAGTGTCTCAAAGTGGTGCTTCAAGTGCCGCGAATTGGTGCCTCAAGTGTCTCAGTGCACAGTGCCTCAATGCGTAACAAGGTTGTCTCTCCACTTTACTCAATTTTGGTTTAAAAACATGTATAAAGTCAGGCTTCAAATTGCAAGATGTGCTTGATCACAGTGCTGGCAAGCATGACCGTCAATATTACACTCACCATACTATTTACCCCCTATACTATTATACAACTCTACCCAATTTATATGGGTAATTTTGGTAAAACATAATTTCTTTTTGGTTGATATTAGAGTATTACGGTCCTAGACAAAGTCGAATGTAAAACTAAGAACTTCATTATTCATTAATATAAAGGGGGTAATTTTCTAAATTACTGACTGGATATACCACTCTTTACTCATAATCATTCAAGTTGGCATTAAATTCATATATAATGCCATTTAACTGTCGTGAGAAAGCAGAATCCAATCGAATTCACGCATGAGCAAAATTCTCACATTTCGTATGTTTAAACATTGAGCGAACGTTAATATGTGCATCCAATATTGAATCGCCGTACTAGGCGTAAATTTTATTATAAATCAAGAGGCTTGCATATAATGAACATATTGACACGGGTGCAGAGTTGAGTCTGTACGGAACCTAGTAGTTTCAGATCCTTGTTTAACTTGCCGTACAGCAAGGTCATCCACTACTTTAGCCCGGCGAGGCACATAACTCCCTCTACAACTCCATATCAAATGTTTCATATTATATACTAGCCAAGTTCACAAGATATATCCTTGTGTTTGAGAAGAGCTCGTTAGAACTGCTTCTTTTCCCTTCAGTATCCCACAGTCTCTCGAGTTTCGTAACTGCCAGAGAACTCTCTTAAACAATTACTAGACTCGGTGATTATAAATCAAGAGGCTTGCATATAATGAACATATGTGTGTAGTTCTTGCAGTGCTGCACGCCGCCGGTTTTTTTCAAAACGGTTTTTTTCAAGACGGCGGCGGCGTGGTTAAGAACGACGGCGGTGGCGTAATCGGCGTGAGGTCACGTGATTTCGCAGATAAAATTTTCCTCTAGAATAATGCCATGTGTAAAGCAATTTTCAACAGTTTTAATTTTGACACGAGGCTTGTAATATCGAGTAGTATATACATAGTATAAACAGGTTCACGCCGGGTACGTCGTTTCTAAACGGCGGCGGCGTGGCTGAAAAATAATCGGCGCGGCGTTCGGCGGCGGCATGCAGCATTGAGTTATTGTATATTTAATAAGCATGCAAAGTTTCAAAACATTTCAAGAATAACCTAATGTCCTAATAACCACAAGGCACAACGGGAATTTTTTGATAAGATCGTGAAAATAGTAATTTTCACTGATTTTAGTGATTTTCTATCGATTTGGGCGTGTCCCCACGTGTACAAGTTTCCAATTTTCAACTTCTAAACTAGCCTAATACACAATATAGACCTATAGAAAGCAGAACTGAGCTCTGCAACCCTAGAGATGGCTCAACACCAGAGAACACTAAATCACAAAATTGACGTTTTTATAAAATAATTCTTCAAAAAAACACTAACTTCAATGGCAAATATCTTTATGGAGGAGCAAGACCATGGGCTCCCCCTCATCGTAGAACTAGCAGAAATATGCCTTGCCGAAATAGAATCCCTAGCCCTCTACTCATGGCATGACCCCCTCATACCTACCCCCACTTTGTTTACGACAGCCTCGGATCTTTCAGAGACATACAGAACACAGAATCCTTCCTCACCTTCCTCAACTCCCTCACCGAAGACCTCAAATTCACCCAAGAACACCCTTCTTCCAACGGAACCCTACCTCTCCTCGACGTCCTCATCCACCCTGACAAGTCCTGAGTCCACTTCAGTCTACAGAAAACCCACCCACACCAACCTCTACACCAAGTATTCCTCCTGCACTACCAACTCCTCCAACTCCTCCTGCACTACCAACTACCTCCTGCACTACCAACTCCTCCAAGAACGCCGTCATCCAATCCATCACCAGAAGAGCCTACAACATCTGTTCACCTCAACACCTCGAAGACGAACTACAGACTGTCAGACACGTTTGCCTTCAGGACGGCTTCCCTCCCCTCCGCATCACCACCATCATGTACGAAGTTCACCGCAAATCCACCAACCCTCCTCGACACCAATTCTTAGCCTCATTCAACCGATAGACTAAAGATCGCGCACTCAGCGTTTCCCTTCCATTCCATCCCTCTCTCCAAACCCATTTCCAAGATACTCGGACAACACGACATCAAAGTCACCCACTCATCAGCAACTACTCTCCGCAACCTCCTCACCAAGACCGGACATACCTTTCATTTACAATTGCGATAAATCAAGCAGCACTACGGTACCCAGAAGCAGTACTCGGAAATAAAGATTCGATAAACCTCAGCTAATTGGACACTAACTAGTTATTAACGTCTAATTTATCCCAATTAGTACTAAGTATTGGCTTGAAAGCAACCCTAGGCCTAAGGGGTTTCCAGAATCCAGAGAGTGTCATTGATGTAATAAACCTAAAATTAAACTGATTAAAATTCGTAAGCCGTGAATAAATGGGAAAAGCGAGCGACCGATTCATTATCGGTATCATTTTGTATTTGAAAACGGTTTATTCCAATTGATATCATTTCCTTTTGTTTGGGAAACTGAAACTTGTTGCTTTCTCGGAAAGTCGATAAGGCAATGAAAGTATTGTTAAAAGATGCGCTCTACAGAGCAACAGTTGCTAGTAGTCCTTCATAAAGGTAACGAATTTTTTTTTGGAAAACAAAATTAGATATATACAGAATAGTATTACAGGTTATATATTATGAACATCATCATTGCAAAAATAAAACCCAGTCCATGGGACTGAAAAAATTAGTTGACTTTCGATTCGAAAGAGTTAAATTCTAAATCATCCATGTTAGATAATTCGTAAGTTTTGTTTGAGGTATTTCTTGATCCTCTAATACACAATAAAATTAATTTCCTAATTAAAAATGATAAGTTACAGTTATAAAGGTAACGAATGTATTTTCAGAAAAGCCTTGGTGGAAAACGGAGCCTACGGAAGCTCCGGAGCCTGATGGTGAGTTAACAAAATCATTGATCAGACCATGTTCAGTTTATAAAAAAGATTCAAGTCTTTTTATATCTCACTACTTTAAAATGGAAGGCACGCTTGTTTAATACGGCTGAAGATTTATTATAAACTAAACTCAACTAATTTTCATTACATTTCAACTTTCTTTCTTTAAAATAAAAAAAAATCTAAAAACAGTAAACTAAAACAGCTTCATACTTAAACGTGACCCTCGTTGGTAGTTATCATCTCAGCAATGTCTTGTCCTCAGATATTATACTCATATAACTCTAATTTCGTTTAAAGCAGACATACAGCAAGATGAAGTATCTTGCTTAATAGTTAGGGCAGGGCTGGAGTCAGATTAGAGGGATAAGCTGATAAGGTTTTGAATAGTCACTAAGAAACACAAAGAGAACGTGTTAAAGTAATTCACGTGATTGTCGAGTGAATAAGATCAAGAGTGTAATAAGAGTGGTTTGGTTAGTCACGAAATCAAGCCATTAATCATCATGTTATGTTTCTAACCCTGTACGATGCATCAAGTGTTGCAAATTGTTGCCTCAAATTTGTGCCGCCATTGCCGCAGTGCCTCAAAGCGTCACAAGGTTATTTGTTTCTTGATTTAACCATTCGTAAATTACACACACACGCACACAATTGTTGCATCAGTTACCTCAGGGCCTAAAACTGCAGGTGCCTCAAGGGCCACACACACACACACACACACACACACACACACACACACACACACACACACACACACACACACACACACACACACACACACACACACACACACACACACACACACACACACACACACACACACACACACACACACACACACACACACACACACACACACACACACACACACACACACACACACACACACACACACACACACACACACACACACACACACACACACACACACACACACACACACACACACACACACACACACACACACACACACACACACACACACACACACACACACACACACACACACACACACACACACAATATTTACTATTCGAGATTTCAAATAAAAACAACATGATGACTGTCATCTCAAGACTTTATCTGTACACGGGGTCATCATAAAAATGCTCTGACTCTGATGCACAAGATAACTTACATGCCTGGCCTCCTGCCGTCGTCGATAAAAGACTTATTTCCTTCTGATATACCAAAGTATGGCACGTCTTATCACTAAATCTACGCGCTAGTGTTCTCTATAAAGGTCCTATATTAGCTATAATTACCGAGCACAACATTAGTCGCATAACTTGCCCATCTAGCATTTTCTCAATAAGCATTTATAAGAAATCGGCAAAGCGTGTAATGATAGAATTACAAAGCTCAGGAAACGATGAAGAATGGCCACCTTTTCTGTTACATAATTTACCTCAATAAATCAACTAACGAGAATAACCTAAAGAATATTGAATAAGTAAAACTAGACGGTTAGCACACTAGTCACTATCAACCATATGCCACATTTTTCACTGCCCATTCACTGTCATATTGATAGCGCTAGCAGGTGCTACTGCACTGATAAGGTATGGGCTCAGTTATTCTTATTTGTTTTAAGTTCAAACAAGAGCACTATACTGATACAGAGTACTATACCATCGACTCTGCACTGCCCACTGATCGTTAATCTGACACAAGCAGATTATAAAACAGTGCGTGTGATCATCTGTCGTATCAAATAAAATTATTTGTCGGGTTCTTTTGCGATAGTCAAAACGCGACAACTAGCGCTGGATGGCGACAACTAGCGCTATCCAGCGCTAGTTGTCGCCATCCAGCGCTAGTTGTCGCTATCCAGCGCTGGATAACGCTGGCCAGCGCAAAATATATATGTTCGATAATTGTCGCTATCCAGCGCTAGTTGTCGCCATCCAGCGCTAGTTGTCGCCATCCAGCGCTAGTTGTCGCTATCCAGCGCTAGTTGTCGCTGGCTATGCGACACTGTCGCACGCGATAGTTTGCGATGGCCAGCGCAACTGGCCATCGCAGAAAACAGTTCGATAACTAGCGCTGGATAGCGACAACTAGCGCTGGATAGCGACAACTAGCGCTGGCCAGCGCTAAGCGATAGCCAGCGCTGGCCAGCGCTGGCCATCGATATCCAGCGCAAAATTTTTGCGCTATTACTCGTCAGCTAGCGCTAGCCAGCGCTAACCAGCGCTAGCCAGCGTTAGCCAGCGCTAGCCAGCGTTAGCCAGCGCAATGTATCAAAATCATATAGTTATACTTGCGATATTACTCGGATGATGATTAATCACTTTACAGTTTACACTCGACTGTCACGTGACTTTTTTAACCCATTCTCTGACTCTAGCTGGTTCTGAACGACTTTTCGAAACCCTAACCCTCTAATCTGATCCCAACCCTAACCCTAACCCAATCCTTAACAAAAACATATGCTGAAACCCTAACCCTAACGAGAAATTAGACTAACTTCCTTATACGGTCATATCACGTGATCGATACAGTTTTTCGCCAATATCTCGTCAGAAGAGCATTTTAACCCTATGTCATGGAGGTTGATTCGGAATTAGCGTCCGAAAATACATTGCATCGATTGAAGTTGGTTACAACCATCGGGGGCCCTTTTAGAACAATCTCGAAGATCGACTGTAGAGTGATTTAGCACGCTCAATATTAGTATTACTCGTCAGCCAGCGCTGGCCAGCGCAATATAGTTGCGATATTACTCGTCAGCTAGCACTGGCCAGCGCTGGCCAGCGCTAGCTGACGAGTAATAGCGCAAAAATTTTGCGCTGGATATCGATGGCCAGCGCTGGCCAGCGCTGGCTATCGCTTAGCGCTGGCCAGCGCTAGTTGTCGCTATCCAGCGCTAGTTATCGAACTGTTTTCTGCGATGGCCAGTTGCGCTGGCCATCGCAAACTATCGCGTGCGACAGTGTCGCATAGCCAGCGACAACTAGCGCTGGATAGCGACAACCAGCGCTGGATGGCGACAACTAGCGCTGGATGGCGACAACTAGCGCTGGATAGCGACAATTATCGAACATATATATTTTGCGCTGGCCAGCGTTATCCAGCGCTGGATAGCGACAACTAGCGCTGGATGGCGACAACTAGCGCTGGATAGCGCTAGTTGTCGCCATCCAGCGCTAGTTGTCGCGTTTTGACTATCGCAAAAGAACCATTTGTCGCTATGTTAATAAATCATGATTTGCAAGTTTTAATTTTTAATTTTTTTTTTAAATGAGTAAACGTAAAAGGTTACATCATAATTTTCAATTTTCATATTCACGTATATTAAATAAATTTATATTGTTATGTATCATATGATTTTGTAAATATTGGCCGGTGTACAAAAACCGGTCCCCAAACAAACAAACTGTATCCATCTTTCATCTTTCAGCGAATTATCAACTTATAGACTCTGATGACAGGCAGGCCTCTCAAAGTAGTACCCCATATGACCACGGCGATGCAGCAAGAGCAATTGATGGCAACAGAGCTAGTAGTTATCCCCAAGGGTAAGTTACGCTTTGTAACTCTTCCAATGATCGATTAAAATCGCCACTATCTCACCAGTCACTATCCCTGGGCGCTAAAATGAGTCAAATTAGCACTGAACAAATGAACAATTCTTCAATATTTTTGCATGAAATTTTCAGAATAAAGGTCTATTTGCATTTTGATGCTTATGAGATGCAATACGCACAATTTTGGGTCACTAAAATGATTCAGATTAGCACTAAACAATTCTTCAATATTTGTGCATGCAATTTTCGGAATGAAGGTCTATTTTCATTTGATGCTTATTCCATGTTAAAATTTGAATCAGGTATTGGAAAAGTTTCTAAGTTTCTAACTCTGTATTGGCTTTCAGCTCTTGCACTCATACCTACAGAACAAACTTCGGAGAGCGTGCCTGGTGGCAAGTATCTCTTGGAGGGACTAAACCTTTGCAATTTAACTGCAATAGTCAAGTCCCAGCCGTAGGCACGGGTTACACTAGTATTATATAATATGTTAAACTCATTACTTCACCATGGCTGGATTCACAGTTAAAACTCTTTCAGTTCCTGTACACATACAAGTGATGGAGGCGCTCAATGGTGGAAGGTCAACCTAGGAGCACAATAAAAAGTGCACTATGTCGTTATCTACAACAGAATGGACTGTTGTGGAGACAGACTTGATGGAGCTCAGGTTGGTCATAACTCATATATAGGGGGGGGGGGGGGGGGGGGGGGGGGGGCAAAAGTCACTACCCATACGTTGGCCTTAATAGCTCAATCACTGAGTGCCCAATTGTAATAATTCCTTTTTGGTATGACTTGCTACCACCACTGGTTCGTGGAATTTGTCGAATCAAAAATATTCGTGTTCATTTTCTTCAAATGAAGGTTCATTTTCGCATTTATTAGATAGTTTGGATAGTCGGATCGAGCCAAATTTTATTGAATGGTGTTTGGCCATTCGAATTACGTTTGTCTTGAAAAAATGAGAGTTCTAGCTTCTCAGATGACCGAGATATGTAGCATAACGAGTACAGTTTGTTATTACGTGTGATCAGGTGATTCAGATTGGGTTGAGGCTAGATCAGCATTATGGGAATCTTGCAGAGAGCCCAAGTACGGTGTTGTAATTGGGTAATCATTGAGTACCCAATCAATTTTGCTGACGAGATAAACAAATTGCTTGATAACTTCGTCATTTTAAATCGAGTTCAGGGGATTACTAGCTACAAGTAGAGCACCTAAAATCTGGGTTTTGAGCATGTTCAGGGTATTTGGCTAAATTGGGCCTAATTTGGACCAAATATGGGCGTGGCTGCCCCGCGGGCACCGTTTGGCGGTTGGGGTCGGGGACCCCCTCAAAAGTTTGGTCACTCGTCTTAGTTTGTTGGTCAATTGCTATCTCGAAACCAAGTTTCACAAAAAAATCAGGGTGAACGCGAAAAAATATTTGGGGTACCCTTTTTTGCTTCAGGGGGGCGCAAAAAGGTGTAGGGGGGGGCGAGAAAAAAAGTAGGGGGGGGGGGACACACAAAATTTTAGGGGGGGCAATTTTCGTCACTGAGGGGGGGGGGGGGGGGGGCGCCAACAGGCAAAGTTACGCCACTGTCAGTGACATAAATATGGTGTACGTGTCTTGTAATAGTTACACTTTAATAGTTTAGGCCCCAAAAATTTGAGCAGAGTGGGAATTTGTGATTTTGTGTGTTCGTATAGTTTATGGCGTGATTAACGGGCAAGTTTCCATAAACGATATTTTATGATCGGCGCCGATAATCGCTTATTGAGCGCTTTTTCGGCGCTTTTTTTTTAAAAAACCGTTTACAATCGCTTTTTTTACGATTATAAACGGTTCAAAAAAAATCGCTTATAATCGACTATAATTGGTGTCATAATTCAAAAAAGCGCTTTTAGGGCCGGGATACATCAGGTCTTCTAACTAGCGGGCTGTGCGGGCCTGCTAGCGCAAATATAGCCCGCTGGTGGATATAAAACACGGCGGTGGTATAAGACCCAGTATGGGTACTGACTTTTGGCCCCCCCTGTACAAGTAAATTATAGAGCTAAGCTATTAGTCCTGTATGCAATTGTACCATCGCTTTTTCGATTTTTGTCACTTCAATTTAATTTTCATTTACACATTATTGATTATAATATAATATATATCAGAGCAGACTGGTGTCAAAGTAGAACTGATGAAGCAAAGTTTTGCTCAAACATATAATAGTTCTTCTCAGTTTTTCCAGATACGATTAAATATGTTATTTTAACAAATTTAAAGTTCCTTACAACAACACAGATATCCAATAGAGGTATTTAAGGGAGGAAAATTATTGTAAGCTTATTAACTATATCAATAACCCCACCATTTTTAAGGTTGAAGCCTTTAGTGGAAGCAATTTGGTTAAACAGTGTGGTAAAATAGACTATGGAAGCGGAAAATACTTATACACCATCGAATGCGGGGATGTAATCGCAGACATGATTAAAATCACTCAAACTTCTGGCGATGCCTTAACTCTTTGCGAGGTGGAAACTTATGGCGAAAAAGGTAAACTAAAATATAATCATCTTACCATTACACATGCTTGATTATTTGAAATTTAAAGTTTATCATTTCAGAATATCTATACCTCCTGTCTTATTACTTACCTTATTATATCGGACCTTATTTGTACGGACATTAAATGAACGGACATAATTATTATCGGACATTAATATGAACGCTAGTTAAGGCATTCAAAACCATCAAAAATCCGATTTTTTTTTTCATTTTTAAAAACTTTTTTATTTCAGCAAATGATTTTTAAATCCATTTTTTATACAGTAAGTAAGAAAAGCAGTCGTTAGGCAGTAAAAATGTTAAAATATTTGTACATGATCAGTGTCTAATATCACATATCATCTTCTTCAAATGGGTTTTTGAAGGATCATATCGACAAAAACTACGTCGTATACGACAAAAATGGTAAAGTCGAAAAAGGGTGAAAAAGAAACTGAACTGTGTACTGTGTACTGAAGAACTTAGTGATACAGAGTCACAAACTCTGGATCTGATGTTATTGAAATTCCTGAATAATATGCATTGCAGCTTAATCTGTAATGCTCTCATGACGGGGTAGACTAAATTTGTCGTTCATAAGGTAAATGGAATGGAAAATGGTCTCGAAAAGTCAAAAAATGTGACTAAATTATTGTAGACTAAAAATTTGTGAAATTTGTGACTATAATTATGGTAACCAAAATTATTGTAACCAAAATTATGGTAACCAAATTTATTATGAACCAAATTTATTGGCCATAAGGTAAACAAACGATCTATTAGTTGTACTCATTAATTGTGCTACGATTTTAAATTAAGTACAATGAACTTCACTAATTGTTAAGTTTTAAATGGGACATTGACAGATAACACATGACCATGATACTGAAAGATTAAACAGTAATTAGACGTTTAAAAATGGATCGCCAGTAATTGAGTAAAAAACAGTAAACTAAAACAGCTATATACTTAAAGGTGACCCTTGTTGGTAGCTATATCATCTCAGCAATGTCTTGTCCTCAGACAGCAAGATGAAGTATTTTGCTTATTAATGGCTAGGGTTAGGGCTGGACTCAGATTAGAGGGATAAGCTGACAAGGTTTTGAATAGTCACTAAGAGTAAGAAACACCTAGAGAACGTGTTAAAGTAAGTCACGTGATTGTCAAGTGAATAAAAGTGTAACTTTCGATCTCAATAATAGTTGAATAAGTTTATCGAGTGATGCAGGTTGAGCAAAACAACAAATATGGACTAAATACCTTAAAAACGACAAATTTAGTTTACCATTTCATGTGACTAAATTTTTCGGCGACTAATTTTGAATTAGACCAACATTTTAGTAGAGCATATTATATGAATTAAATTTTATTGAGCTTACATTCTTTATCATATGTTCATGATAAACAGTTAAAATATCGCTAACTGTACAGTGTACACATGGGTCCCTACTGCGTGTAATGGCTCGCCGTTTAGTTGGAACGTTCCCAGATCGAGAATATTCCTCCTTACCAAAATACGCGCGTATCACATGGTGTAAGTTACAGGATCACGAGGTTGATAATTTGTCCGTGTACGTGACCGTTTGGCGCGCAGTGTGCACGTGGACCCATGGGAAATTTCTGATACATGTGTTCCGTTATCTATACGTACACTTCGTTCACTCCCCGTCTTTTGTTACGTTCTACGTTTCTATATAGATTTGTACCTTGAGTTTTGCAGAGTCGTTACAATTTCCGATTTCATTATGAACTTCGACATACCTTCTGCGAAATTGAATAAAAAATAGCTTAGTAATGGAAAAATCAAATAAATGGAATAGAGAATGGTCTCGAAAAGTCAAAAAATGCGACTAAAATTGTTGTAGACTAAAAATTTGCGAAATTTGTGCCCAAAATTATACTAACCAAAATTATAGTAACCAAATTTATTAATTGACGATGTCAATTTATCGCAGCTCGGCGAGGCACAGTAGCGCATCTCGCTACAACCAAATTTATTGTGACCCAAATTTGTTGGCCCTAAGGTATTGGTTTTATGACGACAATGAACTGCCACAGATATTTATAAAACCTGTTTATCGAACTGAGTGGTCTTGATGCAGCAAGTGTTGCAAATTGTTGCATCAGTTGCCTCAGGGCCTCAAACTGCAGGTGCCTCAAAGTGGTGCCTTCAGTGCCTCAGTGCCTCAATGCGTCACAAGGTTATCTGTTTCTTGATTTAACCATTCGTATATTACAGACACATAGACGCACACACACACACACACACACACACACACACACACACACACACACACACACACACACACACACACACACACACACACACACACACACACACACACACACACACACACACACACACACACACACACACACACACACACACACACACACACACACACACACACACACACACACACACACAATATTCATTATTAGAGATTTCAAATAAAATGAACATAATGACTGTCATCTCAAGACTTTATCCATCTTTCAGTGACTATCAGCGAACCTCAACTTATAGACTCTGATGACAGGCAGGCCTCTCAAAGTAGTACCCCATATAACCACGGCGATGCAGCAAGAGCAATTGATGGCAACACAGCTAATGTATATTCTCAAGGGTAAGTTACGCTTTGTAACTCTTCCAAGGATCGATTAAAATCTCACCAGTCACTATCCCTGGGCGCTAAAATGATTCAGATTAGCACTGAACAATTCGCTTTGCAATTTAACTGCAATAGTCAAGTCCCGGCCGTAGGCACGGGTTACACTAGTATTATATAACTAGTGTAACCCGGCCTTCGGCCGGGATTTCACTGCCGCAGTTAAAAAGGGTAGGAGCATTTACCCGTTGAGTCAAAACCCGCATTAGGTGAGCAATTCTATTCGGAGTGCCCTCGCGTATTCAATGGTATCTTAAACAATAGTAATAGTATCTTAAACAATAATCAATAGAAATTAATCCTTAACACCACACCCGCCTATCATATTAATTGTGAACACGCATAACATTGTCGTATGAAAGTATGAACTCTCTCTCTGCAGTCCAAACAGTGCCCCCTCCCCCAATAAGATTATAGTATAGACAGCGAATCTTACACGGGTAACTCAATTACACTAATTATGCAGCTACATATGCGAGCCCCGTAACTCTTACCGTTCTGCTCACATTTTATGTAACATTTGTGGTACAAAACTATCAATTAAACCACTTACCAACGACCGATTTAAAAAACCTTTATCATTTAACTTCGTCAGAGTTTTGTCGGCACTTATATGTTAAACTCATTACTTCACCATGATGGCTGGATTCACAGTTAAAACTCATATTTCAGTTCCTGTACACATACAAGTGATGGAAGCCCTCAATGGTGGAAGGTCGACCTAGGAGCAATTTACAAAGTGAACAAGGTCGTTATCTACAACAGAATGGAGTGTTGTGGAGACAGACTTGATGGAGCTCAGGTTGGTCATAACTCATATACAAGTAAATTATAGAGCTATAAGGTCAGTCCTGTATGCAATTGTACCATCGCTTTTTCAATTTTTGTCTCCTTCAATTTAATTTTCATATACACCATATAATATAATAATCTATATATTAGTGGCAGCCAGGTGTCAAAGTAGAACTGATGAAGCAAAGTTTTGCTCAAACACAGTTCCTTCTTAGTTTTTCCATATACGATTAAATCTGTTATTTTAACACATTTAAAGTTCCTAACTACAACACAGATATCCAATAGAGGTATTTAAGGGAGGAAAATTATTGTAAGCTTATTAACTATATCAATAACCCCACCATTTTTAAGGTTGAAGCCTTTAGTGGAAGCAGTTTGGTCAAAATCTGTGGTAAAATAGACTATCAAAGCGGAAAAGTCTCTTACACCATCGAATGCGGGGATGCAATCGCAGACATAATTAAAATCAGTCAAACTTCTGGGAAACCCTTAACTCTTTGCGAGGTGGAAACTTATGGCGTAAAAGGTAAACTAAAATTCAATCATCTTAACATTATACATGTTTGATTATTTGAAATTTCAAGTTTTTCATTCCAAAATATGTATACATCCTTTTTTATATTACTTATTCAAAAAATGATTTCCAATTTGCAACTTTAATTTCAGTTGAATAAGTGATGTCGGGCTAAAAGAACAGCATGGACGTAGATTAAGATACGATAGTTTAAACCAACGAAAGGGTATAATATTATTATTTGCGTATTTGGAGAGAAAAGACAATTTTTTGAGAAAAGAAAATTTTATTGTTTATCATCAATTCAATGCACAATCAATAAATATATATTCGAATAAATTGGATTTAAAATTAAATGATACATGATACAAGTATGCTTGGGATTTATGATTCAGCATCATATGCCTCATTGCGAAGAATGAAATAGTCCGGAACAATTTTTAGAACTACAAATACAGTTTAAGCATGTCATGTATTTTTTTTTTTTTTTTTTTGTTCAGGGAGCAGGCTTGCCACATAGGTCCAGGAGTACCGAACGTTTAGGCAGGGTGCTAGGTTATGGAACACACTCAACTAGTATAGGTAGTCTGAGAGTCCGAAATCTCCAAAAGGAGATGTCATCAGAGTGTGATCCACTGCCTGACTAACCTGTGGGTAGAGTTCATTAGACTCTATAATGATGACAGGTAGTATCTTCTGTATGTTGCTGAGATCCAGTGTCCATGGTACCTATCACCTATCTAGATAATAATAACAAAATGGGAGGCTCTATTTGTCCAAGTGTGCTTCAAATTAAACTGATAAATAAAATACAAATTTGAATTTAAAAATTTTTAAAACCAATAATAAATATAAGGATAAATACCTTGACTGAAATAGTGAATGTCTCTGAAGAAGTAGAGACGTAAAACTTGTTACGACACGATATAATGCTGAAAGAAAGCCTGTCTCTGAAGAAGGAGAGACAATAAAACAAGATACGACACGGTATGTTGAACTAAAGCATGTCTCTGAAGAAGGATAGACGACACGGTATGTTGAAAGAAAGCCTGTGTCTGATGAAGGAGACACGATAAAGCATGATACGACACGGTATGTTGAAATAAAGCCTGTCTCTGAAGAAGGAGAGACGACACGGTATGCTGCAAGAAAGCCGGTCTCTGAAGGAGAGACCATAAAAACATGATACGACATGGTATGTTGAAATAAAGCCTGTCTCTGAAGGAGAGACGATAAAAACTTGATACGACATGGTATGTTGAAATAAAGCCGGTCTCTGAAGGAGAGACCATAAAAACATGATACGACATGGTATGTTGAAATAAAGCCTGTCTCTGAAGGAGAGACGATAAAAACTTGATACGACACGGTATGCTGAAAGAAAGCCAGTCTCTGAAGAAGGAGAGACGAAAAAAAAAACTTGATACGACATGGTATGAGGTATACTAAAAGAAAGCCTGTCTCTGAAGAAGGAGAGACGATAAAACGTGATACGACATGGTATCTTGAAAGAAAGCCTGTCTCTGAAGAAGGAGAGACGATAAAACGTGATACGACATGGTATGTTGAAAGAAAGCCTGTCTCTGAAGAAGGAGAGACGATTAAGCATGATACGACACGGTATGTTGAAAGAAAGCCTGTCTCTGAAGAAGGAGAGACGATAAAGCATGATACGACACGGTATGTTGAAAGGAAGCCTGTCTCTGAAGAAGGAGAGACGATAAAGCATAATACGACACGGTATGCTGAAAGAAGCCTGTCTCTGAAGAAGGAGACACGATAAAGCATGATACGACACGGTATGTTGAAATAAAGTCTAATGAAGTAAGTCAGACAAGCAAACGCTTCAGGTTAAATGTAGATATAAGTCGTCTCCATCCCAGAAATAATGAATGATGACCCAGTGTAAAAGTGCAGAAATCTGCCTAAAATAACAAATACTAAAAGCAGTTAAAAAGTGACAGTATTCAAACACAAGGTAATTTAATAACATAGAACGTAACAAGGAATATCTCCAAACGGAGTTTTCTTAGAGGGTGACAGGTTCTTTAATAAGACCTAATGATTAAAATTAACCGGACTGCTAGCGAGGAATCGAGAGTGGGAATAAAATAAAAGCGAAATAAATTCTAAGATAACGGAAAAGTGGTACAGAAAGCTAATGTCCTAACACGGAGTCTAGGAAAAACCTGTGAACCGAATAAGCAGAATGGCACCCGTGCATGAAGTGTTAAAATAAATACCGTTCTAGAATGCCTGCGGAGGCATTATTACTCCTTTATAATGCATTATGCACGTGTTAGAAAATTTAGTAAAAATTAATAACATAGAACGTAACAAGGAATATCTCCAAACGGAGTTTTCTTAGAGGGTGACAGGTTCTTTAATAAGACCTAATGATTAAAATTAACCGGACTGCTAGCGAGGAATCGAGAGTGGGAATAAAATAAAAGCGAAATAAATTCTAAGATAACGGAAAAGTGGTACAGAAAGCTAATGTCCTAACACGGAGTCTAGGAAAAACCTGTGAACCGAATAAGCAGAATGGCACCCGTGCATGAAGTGTTAAAATAAATACCGTTCTAGAATGCCTGCGGAGGCATTATTACTCCTTTATATTGCATTATGCACGTGTTAGAAAATTTAGTAAAAATTAATAACATAGAACGTAACAAGGAATATCTCCAAACGGAGTTTTCTTAGAGGGTGAGAGGTTCTTTAATAAGACCTAATGATTAAAATTAACCGGACTGCTAGCGAGGAATCGAGAGTGGGAATAAAATAAAAGCGAAATAAATTCTAAGATAACGGAAAAGTGGTACAGAAAGCTAATGTCCTAACACGGAGTCTAGGAAAAACCTGTGAACCGAATAAGCAGAATGGCACCCGTGCATGAAGTGTTAAAATAAATACCGTTCTAGAATGCCTGCGGAGGCATTATTACTCCTTTATAATGCATTATGCACGTGTTAGAAAATTTAGTAAAAATTAATAACATAGAACGTAACAAGGAATATCTCCAAACGGAGTTTTCTTAGAGGGTGACAGGTTCTTTAATAAGACCTAATGATTAAAATTAACCGGACTGCTAGCGAGGAATCGAGAGTGGGAATAAAATAAAAGCGAAATAAATTCTAAGATAACGGAAAAGTGGTACAGAAAGCTAATGTCCTAACACGGAGTCTAGGAAAAACCTGTGAACCGAATAAGCAGAATGGCACCCGTGCATGAAGTGTTAAAATAAATACCGTTCTAGAATGCCTGCGGAGGCATTATTACTCCTTTATAATGCATTATGCACGTGTTAGAAAATTTAGTAAAAATTAATAACATAGAACGTAACAAGGAATATCTCCAAACGGAGTTTTCTTAGAGGGTGACAGGTTCTTTAATAAGACCTAATGATTAAAATTAACCGGACTGCTAGCGAGGAATCGAGAGTGGGAATAAAATAAAAGCGAAATAAATTCTAAGATAACGGAAAAGTGGTACAGAAAGCTAATGTCCTAACACGGAGTCTAGGAAAAACCTGTGAACCGAATAAGCAGAATGGCACCCGTGCATGAAGTGTTAAAATAAATACCGTTCTAGAATGCCTGCGGAGGCATTATTACTCCTTTATAATGCATTATGCACGTGTTAGAAAATTTAGTAAAAATTAATAACATAGAACGTAACAAGGAATATCTCCAAACGGAGTTTTCTTAGAGGGTGACAGGTTCTTTAATAAGACCTAATGATTAAAATTAACCGGACTGCTAGCGAGGAATCGAGAGTGGGAATAAAATAAAAGCGAAATAAATTCTAAGATAACGGAAAAGTGGTACAGAAAGCTAATGTCCTAACACGGAGTCTAGGAAAAACCTGTGAACCGAATAAGCAGAATCAAGCATGTCATGTAACTTTTAAATGGGAATTGTTTACTGTTGAGTTTAGTAATTATTCAATTTTTCTTCTTATCAAATTGAAGTTAGAGTGTAGAATATTAAAATGTTGATGTTTAAGCCATATAGTAAAATTTACTTATTAATTAGAAATCATCCAAATGTTTTAGTCGACTCCTGGCCATTTCACTTTTTGAAATTGTATAACATTTTTTCAACTGATTCATAAGCATCAGCACTTTAAAATAAATGTACAAAAGTATCGAGAATAACTGAATCTGCTCAATAACAATTAAAAATAACCTGATTTTTGTTTTCCTAACCCTATACCTTTCACCTACACTACCCATGTGCCTAAGCTACGTTTAACAAGGAGGGCGCCATTCATATCGGAACTTAGATGGTTATTGTAACACTAATTTTGTTACAATACTCTCTAATCCTAACAAAAATTGGCCAGTATACTTAAAACTTAAAAAGAAGATCTGGTAAGAATCTTGAACAAATTCAATGATCAAACAATATGTCACAGCTCAAATTAACTCAAATTAGCTACATATATACATGCTACATGAAGAGGTATCCTCCTGATCGTTGGAGTGGCATGCATCACACAAATCTCTTCTACGAAGTAGCAAGTTCCTTAATGCTAACTGACATACTGCATCTTGCCTGATATTTTTAAGGGGGCCGAGGGGGGAGGTCTTCTCTCGAAACCGACTCTATAGTTTCTTCTGACAGAGGAGATAATGATAATGCACAATATAGACCCATATGTGGCGCAGTTCGTTAGTCGGCCTGCTTGTGAAATACCTCGCATTCACAGGGTCCCAAGTACGATTCCCGTCTGTGCCGCTAGCCATGGGGTGAGCGTCGTTGACGCTCTGCTGAGGGTTCCGTTAAACCTATGCAGCCCCCCGGTCTACTCAGCCGAATGCTCGAGAAATCGTGTGTGAGGGTTAAATGAGGAGCTGTATATGATCAATACAGCGAAGCTTCGGGCGAAGAAAGTGTGGTATAATACCTTAACCGTCGCTGGCGTTAGACTTGATCCTTCGGTTTCCTGTAAGTGCCGGTTACATGCCGTGACTATTAAGCCATGGTTGTCCGAAGTAAAGCATAAGAGTGGTCATTTCACTTGATGGCCCTGCTGCAGCGCAGCTAAAGCATCACATAAGAGACATGTCTATATATATTGGCCTCAGCACGGATCGTTATATATAATACCACTTCAACTTGAGGGACCACATGCAAAACTGGTATATCAGTTTTTGATAGTTTTGAGATAAATGTATTTTACTGATTTAAAAGATTCTATGTCATGTGTAAAAAACACTTTTAAAAATGGTATATCTGTCTATATACCATTTTTAAAACTAGAATTGTTCCAAACTGGTATATCTCACGATATACCATTTTTTCTA